CAGACTCTGGAAAACAGAACCAAACCTCAGAACCAAAAATTCCTTCATGAGTTTTCAACATTTCTGCTAATGCCGAGTTCCAGGGTCTGGTTTACATTGGGAAACCTTGACTCCTGGCTCCAAAGGGTTCAATTAGTCAAAATGGTTGGCAGATGGAAAAAATCATTAAGTTCCATCCAGTGTTTTGAACAATAAAAATAGACTCAAGACACAATGGCCTTACCTTGAACTTTGCAAGCCAGCGTCACATTATGATAAAGAGGGAGTCAGCTCTCAGAAGCTGGATTATCTACCAGCACATGGACAGAGTGTGAAGCTGGGCTGCAAGGGGGACAGGCACCAGAACCTTGCAGGCTGAGCACATGATTATTAGTGTAATGATTTTTAGCCCAGATCCAAGATGCAAATTCTGGCAATGAGAAATAACTCAACATGGATATTATGAGATTACCAAAACCTCACGATAGTAGTAATAACAATAATCATCTGTTATTTGAAGAGATGCTGAAATTCATGGAAATTTTAAAATATTATTCTTAGAAATCTTTCTCTTGAATGCTTTGTCTTTCCTGAAAATGACAGAAAAGCAGATAGATAACACTTTTGTCAAACAAATTTTTTTTCATTTTATGCTTAAATACAGACTTAGGTGCCCAACTTTAAGAGCTTGAGTTTGCAAATACAGTTATGGACCAGAAACATAACCTGTTCCATAATTTGACATCAAAATTATTTTTACTTCAACTATCCCATAAGATAGGTGGAAGAAGGAATTATACCTGACATTACACACCTGATCATTCTGAAAAAACGAATATATTCACAAAAAAAAAAAAAAAAAAGCAGCATGTAGGGTAAATTTTCAAATTGGGAAGTGTGGCTTACTGCACAAATGACTTATTACAAAATAAGCTCTAGTGAAAATTTTATGTCCAAAGCAATGTTTTGGATAATAAATTATGTCTTACAAACAATAAAAAGTGGACAGATTCTCCACCACTGTCAATGACAGCACCTGGCAGTACAGGGCACATGGGCTTGGAGATTAATGTTTAAGTTTAGAATGAAATTCCCAGCTAGTGGGAATTACTAGGGCACAACAGAGGTTCTAGATTGTAATATTAATGAAGTTTCCCAGAAAGCATGAGAGCTCCACAGATCCACACTTGTACATACACCTTTACATCCGCTCTTGGCTGTCACTCGGTGCTGAATGCAACTGGGTACTTAACATCTAAAGAGATGGAGAAATTAATTGCACAGCTCTCCATGCAAGTCTGATCAAGCTTGGAAAGGTGAGGTAAGTCTGCTTCCTATTGCTCACGTCATTCCTTCTATTCCCTAAACCTCTACCAGGTATGATTGCCATCTCTCCCCCTCTCCCATATCCCTTCTCCGAGGCGGCGCTGCCCCTCAGGGGCTGCGGCCCCCATTGCCACCCCAGGGTTCTCAGTGGCAGCAGGGCTTTGCTGTGTGTTTGAGTGGCATTGTGGGTCCAGGATGAGGCCAGCAGTACCTGGGGTGGCTCCTGATGTGATATCACAGAGTGTTTTGGCAGTGCTGGGGTGGTTGGACCACGTAACTGGTGCCACAATGCCAGCATTTTAAAGAAGTGATGTTCACGTGTTTGTGATTGCTCTGGTGGTTTGGGCTCCTCTGATCGTGCAGCAGATGGCCCCCACCTTTATCTTCCTGGAGTGTCCTGTGTTTATTTGTGATGGTAGTCCAGAAAAACCACTGAATCTGTCCCAAATCATACGGTATTTAGAGGGATAAAATGTTGAACTAAGCCTGGGAATCATTAGGTGGCTGCCTTGGAGCCAAGCTGTTTGGACAGGGCTCAGTTTCACAGCTGGCAGAAGAAGGAGAATCTTTTTCTCCTTCAACTGCTGAGACTGTCAGCAGCAAACTTGCAGAACCACCTCCCAGCTCTTGGGGGTTTGTGGGGTGGTGAAGTGGATATGTTGTTTGGTGAACTCTAAAGACATCTTGCTGGTTTGTGTGTGTTAGGGGGTGTCTTTAAATTTGGAGCCTCTTCTCTATTGTTTTATGGTTTAGATCAGAGTATTGGATCTGGCTGACAGTCTCTTTGGGATAACAGTGGTGGATCCTGGTATTTAAAGTAGGATGTGGCATGGGTGAAGGGTCTCAAGAGGCAGAATTTTTCCTTTGAATCATAATATAAGTTCACTGTACCTGAACATCCAAGTGAACATTCAGAGCCCTGATTTCTCTAATCTCTCAAGGACCAAGCTTCCTGGGTCCAGCCTGTCCCAAAGCACATGCTTCTGACTTGACACAGCTGTCCTAGAGGACAGGAAAAATCAATGTATGCTGTTATATTAAACCCAGGGAGGATTAGCAGAAGGGACGTGCTAATGAATTCCACGTGAATATGCTGCAGCAGACCAGCGTTAAAAAGCACAGAAATAATTTGGTAGAAAATCTGCCTGGTTTGCTTTCCAGCTCAGGCTGATGGCCGAGCCTTCTGTTACTCAGAGCCAGGGCTATTTCCTGCAGTGCCGGTGGCATCACCAGGGTGGTGCGAGGTGTGGTACCCAGCCCAGCATGGGCAGAGCTGGTGCTGCACAGATCAGAGCAGGCAGCACATCTTGATGTCTGCAGCGACTCACGAGGTGAAGGCTTTGATGTAGGTCCAGGGCCTGGCCCTGTGATGCAAGTTGCACTGTGAAACCTGCTTTTCAGGGAGCACATCCGTAGCCATGGGATCTTCAGAAATGGAATCTTGTCCATCAGGAAGCCTGTAACAGTGATCAATCCTCAGGACTTCCTGAAGAGGAGTTCCTTGTCCTAGATTTGACACTTGTATCCTCCCCCTCCTGGGAAGCCCAGGCCTGTCTCATGCTCTTACATATGTAACCAGAGCAAAGGCTTTGGGTTTTGCTTCTGGCTCGAATGCTCTTCAGTTCCAGCATCAGTGCTCCCATAGAAAATGCTAAACACCTTTCTGTGTGATGTTCTATAATTCGGTTTAGTTGTAATACCCAAAAGCCTCTATGTTTTCCCAAGCAGAGCAGCTATGCCAGCTGGTTAAGAGAAACCGGTATAATAATTTTTCTACTTTTTCACCCACTTTCCCTATACCTCACTATCCTCACTTTTACTTCTTTTCACTAGCCTGGCTCTAGCTCTTCTCTTTGGCAGCACTGCCAGTTTCTCTCCCGTGCCCACGTGCCTGTGCACACACACAGGCTCAGGCAGATGCTCACAACCTGACTTCACAATTCACCCCTCTCCCTTGTTAATTGTAAGAAAAAGAGAGAAGGAAGAATGAAAGTGTTACACAGGGGAGTGAGGCAAAAATAGAAATCCAAGGATATGGTGGTTGCAAGGAATGCCCAGAAATTTCCTTCTGGAGTCTCTTTTAATCATCTCTCATACTTTGCTTCAATGCTTTTCTTTCAGCTGCTCAGGCCAGGTTGCTTGGTAGACTTTTGCTGCCAAATGCTATTATAACCAATCTGCTCTGATCTTTAGCCAAATCTTAGGAAAGAAGTGGGTGTGCTGAAGCTTTGGTGAGGGAACTCTTTACCATTGCTGGAGTGGCAAACATGACTGTGCAGATGAGAGCTGCTGGAGCAGGGCTGCAGTGCTACCAGGGTCTCTGGTTTCAGCTGCTGCCATGAAGGAAAGAGCAGCCCTGAATGTCTAGAATGTACAACTGTTTCAGCTACAACCACCCAGATATTAGCACAAAACACAGATAACATCAACAACATCCTTTAAGGTGCTGGGTACCTGAGACAGCCATCTGGGTTTTGCTGACGTGTCCCCGGGCTGTGCTGACTAAGGGCAGATCCCCAGCAGGAATAACTGAGGCTGCACTGAAACTCGTGCCCACGCTGTCCTGGAGAGGAATCATCAAGCAGGAGCAGAAAGGGCTCCTCTTGGACGGTCAAGGCTGCATCTCCCCTCTTCAGGGCTCAGGGTGGGCTTCACAGCTGTGCCTGGCCAGCTCTGGATAAGGGCAAATGAGTGGCTGGAGTGTGAGGAGAGGCAGAGCTGGGAACACAGAGCCTTTATGAACTCATCCTCTATGGCATGTTAAAGAAGGGCTGAAACACCATACAACATTTAAACATCCTAATTTCTCCAAGACCTGGCTCTATAGTAATTATTAAAAGGAACGTCTAAACAAAAGAACAAAAAATCTCCAATGTGCTATTCACAAATGCAATGAGCTCATTGGTTCCCAGAGCTTACACTGACTCCATGCCGTACATCTGTAATAAAAGTGTCTCTATTTGCCTACCAGATGCACTGGAGTCATGTAGAGTTCAAATTTACCATACCCATCAAGATGCAAATCCCAAATTTCATTTAGCATTGTCCCGTTGGTAAGGACGTTACACGCGGGTCAGGATTCTATCTCCCCCCAAGCCCTTTAAATGTGTTTATTCATTTTGTTTATTTTCATTTCCCAGTTTCCACATGTCGCTCAGTCAGATTTTCTGTTAGCAAGACTGAGAGACGAATAACATATGTTACCCCACAACTGACCTTGAAGGGGAACTGAAGAAACCATCTTCCCTAGGGCTGAGATGCAATTCAGACACGAGCTTGCTCCATAGAGGTCTTTTCCTGAAAAGACACTGCCAACTGAGTCGTAAGCCCTGGAAACATTTCTGCCTGCATCGATAGCAAAGCGTGAAGTATGTACCAGGGGGATGTTGAGGATTTAGCCTTCTGTGCCATTCCTCCCTCGGCTCTCATAAGCAAAGCAAACAAATTCTTTGTGTCTTAGAAGAATCGGATAATTCAGCCAACTTGAGTCGTTTCCTTGCAGGCCTGGCTTTTCACCTGGGAGACTAGGTTTGCTGATCCTACCCAGGTTAAAATGACTGAAAATCAATGTGGTTTGACAGCTGTGGGAAAAAAAATAAATAAATGGATGTATAAACTGTTGAGCAACAAAGGCTCTTCAAGTGGATACAAAGTGAGGCACAGAAAGAAACTGTTGTCTATGATCTTCCTTACAGGCTCTTGATTCATGGAGGTCTGGCCAGTCCCAGCCCCTTCTGATGCGGTTGGTCTGACACTTCTACAGTGCTTTCCACTTCCTCACACGCTCTGCTCAGGAAGAAGACACAGGCAGGCCCTTCACCTCTCCCCTGTCCTTGGGTGGCTGAGCTGGGAACGTCAAACAGAGGGTGAGTATGTCTGTGTTGCCTTAGCCTGATGTTTCAGTCGGGTTTGGTGACACCCACTGCCCCACTGCTGAGCCTCCTTTGCCTTTGAAACAGCAAAACAGGGGAGTCCTCATCCATAGAGTCACCTCCTGAGGACATCCTGTGAGATGGTGACACTGTGAAATGAAGGTGGTGTGAGAGCCCGTGCAGAACTGGCGGTAACACCAAGGCTGCTCGTTAGACCCACTCGCATTTCTCCCTTGGACAAGTGATCCAGAGCAAGGTCTGGAAAAGCAAATCTAGGTTTAGCTGGGTGTCAGTTAGCTTGTCACATGGCTCCCACAGGCCAGCTGGATGCTTAGAAGTTGCTGAATTTAGAGCCCTCCGTGTTGGAGGCTCCACCTCTACCTGTCACCCCCCACAGACATCAGCTTTCCTGGTTCTGCCACCCGGCATCAACCTCAGGAGCTCATATAATTTCCCCCCTTTTTTTTCCAGTATCACTTCTTTCCTTGGGGAACGTGATCACACTGTTTCCTAGAGCAATTTGGAATTGAATTACATCTTTGAAGTGTTTGGACAATGTTCTCAGGCATATGGTGTGATTTTTGGGGCTGTCTTGTGCAGGGCCAGGAGTTGGACTTGATGATCCTTGTGGGTCCATTCCAACTCAGGATATTCTGAGATTCTGTGGTTTGCCCTGAGGGTCAGGCAGTGTGGGAAAGGGGCAGTCTGTGTGAGCAGGGATCAGAGCCTTCCTTGTTAGCTTGTTGTCACCCTCCGATGCAATCCCAGATCAATGCTGAATTACAGCACAGAGGAGAGATAAATGTTACATTCAGCATGAATTGCCAGTTCTGACACACAGGAACACTAAACACGTACCTAGACAAAATCCTAAAGTCATGCCAATTGGAATCCAAAAACCTGCCACGCCAGTTATCACTTAGTAACAACTTCATATAATTTTCTCCAAGTAATTAAAATGTCCTTCCTGAGCCAAAAAATGAAATTTTCTTTGCAACAGGCAATTCTTATGTAAAACTACTTTTCTCTTTAGTTTCTGTCAGTTTAATGTAAATTTTTAGCTGTATTTGGTGAAATCCACTTTGGGAGTTATGACTTATCTTAGTACTGTGGCTGGGGGGAAGGAGGGAAGTTAACCGTGTACTTAGATTTCAGTGGTATCAGCTGAAGTGCTAGATTCAGGAAATGTTTCCACAGGTTTATGGATACTGCCTATGGCTGACATGGGATACAGGCAAAGTGTCCCTAGTGAAGCTTTCAGAAATGTTTGTTAATGCCCGTGGCAGCCCAGCAATACCTCCTGTTCTGACATCTGTTTTAAGGAGAGGTGAACAGGGTCATGTACACATTTTCTTCATATTTTCTTTCTGTGGGTGCTGATTTCGACTGCTTTTACTCTTTTCAGCTCACCCAGCAGTGCTCAGCAGCTCCTGGGAGATCTGGAGCTTTCGATGGCCATCACCTTCTGCCAGTTTGGTGTTTGTTTATCCTCCCCTTGTTCCTTTTCCCCTTCACCTTCTCCCCAAAAGCTGCATTTCAGTTCAGGAGCCCCTTTTGGGAATGTGGGTTCCTGTGATCTCTCAGATGTGCCAATGGGCTCACTGGCATTACAGGTCAGGATTTCTGTCACCACCCTAAAAATGGCCTTACTGGCAAAGGAACAAAGCTCAGAAAATAACATTTTAAACCTGTCAAGTCTGATTTACAGAAAGCTTCTGTGATCTAGAAAAGCAACAAGCAATGATTACGTTCTGCTACACCCTAATTTTAATTATAAAAAATGCTGGTATAGTTTTCCAGTTGCCATCCCTGTAAAGGAAATAAGTAGAGTTGGAGTAAATCTTCCAAATAAACATATTTCTCAGACATAAACATGATAAATCTTTTCTTTTGAGAAAGATATAAAGAATGGTTAACTTAAAATATGCATATAATAACATATTACCCACAGCTTCTCATGTTTAAAAAGATTCCATATGCTGGGAAAACCCATAAAATAAAACCCAAGAAATGCTGCATCCTCTTTGTATTAATTTGAAACAGTCACTTAATGGGAAAAAGGAAAAGAAAGAAAAAATAAAGAAAACTGGTGGAACAGAATTATTTTATTTTTTCTTAGAAAATCCCAAACAAATCAGTAACTCCAGCATTCCAATCTCTTCATCCTGTTTTTAGTGGTGTATTAATATGTAAACTCAATACTTCTGTTGAAAAATAGCTTTGGGTAAGGAAAAATGGTAGCAAATTCCAGGGTGGCCTTACTAGCATTTTTGATTGAAAAAACTTGGAAAAATGTTGTTGTTTTAGGATGATGAGAAGTGCTGCCATCTCTTGTGGTTTACCCAGGATTGTCCCAAGTTTGACTGTTGTCTCTGGTTTGGTTTAAAACCTAAAAAGGGGCTAGTAACTGTAGCTCCCTCTCTCCCACTAAATTCCCTATTCTTACCCCATTTTTAATAAGTAATTTGTTTTAAAATAGTCTCACTGAAGAAGCTTTCTGTTAAAGTACCATGGATAAAATAGTCTGCTTTTCTTATTCTTTTTTTTAAGAGGAATTTATCTCTCTAGAAAGGTTTGTTCCATATGACTGTGGGCTGCAGAGCTGGGGTAGTGAGAGCTCATGCATAGACTTGGAACCAGAGGACTTGGGCTCTGGGCTGATTTTTCCCTTAACTTGGTTTGTGACTTGGAGAAAATAATTTGTGTTTCACTTGATTTTGTTTGTGATTCCCCCTATTTCGTCAGATATTTTCACATGGAGAACACTTGGTATACAGATGCTGGTTGCTCCCTGGCAGGAGCTTCCAAAACTGTTCCTCTAAGGAACAGAGCAGAGTCCAAGACTTTCAAGACCTTTCCAGACATTAACATGGAGATGATGACTGTCCTGTTTCATATCACAGCCCAATGGTCAGGGCCCTTCCTCACAGACCAGCTTTTCAACTGCCCGCCTTCAGTTTGGGATTATTGCCAGTTCTCACACATCACTGTCCTGTGAACCTCTTGATCATGACCAGTTGTGGATGCCCCATTCCTGGAAGTGTTTCAAGGCCAGATTGGATGGGGCCCTGAGCATGCTGGTCCAGTGGAAGGTGTCCCTGCCCATGGTGGGGAGGTCAGAACTAGATGATCTTTAAGGTTCCTTCCAACCCAAACAATTCTGCAATTTTGTGCTATTTGAGCTTTTGGCTTTGCAAGGGGTTGAGGCTCCCACCCAGCTGCAAATTCAGAACTCCTCATGCCCCAGAGAGGCCACGAGCATGAGCAAAGCTGGGGACACGCCAGGCAGGGAAGCTGGAGCTCTGCCCTAGGAGAAGCAGCAGCACGCACACCCCGTGCTCAGCACCTGCAATTAAATGAGGGGGGGTGTTTAACCAGTCCCTTGGCAGCCTGACAGGCACTTTCCCAACCTGGGCACCCCAATTCCCTCTCTCTGCCCCCTGATGGGGGTCACCTCTGGCCACGGTGTAGGGGGTTAAAGAGGGCTGAGCCAGGGCTCCAGCTGCGTGCGCCGGCTGTGTGGGGAGCTGGGCTGGGCCAGCTGTGAGTTCAGCTCTTCCCCCCGGTCAGCTAGAAATGGGTTGTGTCTCCTGCACTGGGATTAGTGCTGGGGGGAGGTGGGTTTTTATGTTAGGAAAGGAGGTGGAAAAAAATTGCATTTGACTGATTCCTCGCTTGTGCAGTGTCTGGGGAGGGTCTGGGCTGTGCAAAAGCTGTCCTGAGACGGGCTCTCTTGGCAGCAGGGTTAAGAGAAGCCTGACCCACTGACTTCTTCACTTAACTTCTAGGCTAGGGAGATGCTTGCTTAGCCCAAAAGCTTGGGTGAGGCAGTCAGCTGGAGTTCAAGATCCAGGGACTTAATGTCCCATGACTGAATGTAGCTTGTTTGACCTGTAGTGCGGATCTTGAGAGTAGGGAGCAGAAGTATTTTTATGGTATGTGCTGAGCCTGCTCTCCCTGACTCAAACACCTCCTGGAAAATGAATAATTGAACATACATGTGACTATGTATAGCCCCTTCTTCAAACAGAACCTGAAAAGGGGGAAGAATATCTTCCAACTTCATAGGCTAACTGCACAGGACTGGCCATAAAATCTATAGGGACACAGCTCTGTAGCAGGGAGCAGGCTTTTCAGCCCACATATCTGAGCAGTGGCCTTCAACTCTGAATTCTTTAAGCTAAGCAGTGAGGTGGATTTCTGCCTTCAAACTGAGCTGGAGTAGAAGGAAAAAACAAATTAATTCAGATTTTTTTAATTTTTTTTTAAATTTTATTTGCCAAGCCACACTGCTCCCTGCTAAAATCAAGAGATGTTACTGTTGGCACAGCGGGTTTAAACTCACTACTGGGTTTTGCATGTTTTAATAAAGGAAGAAACTGATTGAATGAGATTGTCTATTAGTTGCATTAGATCAGCAGTTTCTTCTTTGCAGTGATGCAACAGATTGTTTGCCGAATAATGCAGTAAGAATAGACTCAGCATGCAAACCCTGTAAACTGTCTGAAGAAAAAGCTGTGTCCTTTTTTTCCCAATTGTTTCCAAGCCAGTAGCTGCTTCTAATATCCCTGTATCCAGTGCAAGCCCAGTGCTGTCTATAACACACACCTACTATTTTTCAAGAGCTGTAATTGTTAGGAGAGAGGGATGTTGAGGAAAGCAGAGTGGGCACAACGTAGGAGGGCTGGTCGTGTGAGGAACTCCCTGGGCTGCATTTTGGGGCAACTTGGCTCTGCTACATCCTTCTCCTGTGACCTTGGGAAAGTCTCTTAATCTGCTGTCTCAGTTCCACACAGGTGTAATAAGAGGCACCATTTTGTCTCTTCTATGCAGTATGTACTGGCTTAATGCCTACGCTGTGTATTAAACACATGCATGTAGTAGGTACTAAGGTGGTAAAGCAAGAGTCAATTCTGTAAAGACTTGTGTGATGCCCAGGACACTGGCAAAGCAAAACCCAGATTAATTCCGTCTTTCTAGTTCTTGACAATTTTTGTTGAATGATGAATTTAAGTAGATGCTTATTTTTAGCCTGTGCATTAGTGGGCAAGGGAATGAAAGGGGAGGATCTCCCACACCAAGCATTTTGTTTTCAATATAAATACATGTCGCATAATATTATGGACAAATAAGGGGTTCTTACCACTCATAAGGTGTTATGGTAATCCTTCATGGAGTCCTTTTAATGAATAAACCAGGGATGCTTCATAAGTCGTTTATTAAGGGTTAATGATGTATCTTCTCTCTTTGGCATCATTCCCAGCCTAAATCAAGCCTGCTTCATCTCATATGGATATGAAAGACAAACTGTACAGATTGAAAACATCTGTATACTGAGTGAATGAACCACATGGCAGCAGTGTCATGCAGAGATTTACTTAAAACTGTCCCCTTTTGTTTGACTTTAGAGGAACAGCACAAATAAATACAGTAGGTTCTGTTTAAACAAAGAGGACTCTGATCAATAGAGGTTTGTATAGCTTACGACCTTCAACTATAAACAAAAAATTGGGGTAAACCCCACATGTCTCAGGTCAATTGCCATCTTATTTACTTTATTACGCCACTAATGTTCTAATCTGTCTTGCATATAAAATGCTTTTTACAAACCATCTTGCTCTGTTTCTCCATTTTCACCAGAGATAAAAGGGAAGGTTGTGTTTGATTCAGATCAACCTGTGAGTGTGGGTATGAGTGTGCCGTGAATTCAGAGTATCAGCGTAAGCAGAGAGCGCAGGCAAACCAGTTCAGGCAAATTTCAAATTCCAGCAAATCTTGGTTGAGGTTTGCAACAGCTTTTGGTGCTTTCTGAGGGGGTTCAGCTATCCACAAAGAAAAGCAAAATGGTTTGTGGCTCACCATAGCCAGACCTGGGCACAGAAACAGGACAGAGGCAGTGCTATATAGAAAGTTGTTGCTCTGTTCTGGCTGCAAGCAGAGGTTGTCCCTTGAAAACACTTGTGAATTTCTGCTAGGGACTGACCCTGGCTGTGAGTCTTTATTATTATTATTTTTGTTACTCTCTCCCAGCAAGATTAAGTAATTCCAAATACTGAGGGGATGACACTCCTGCATGTGTTCTACCCTCGTATCTCCAAATAGCTAACTTGAATTGTAATTACTTTCTTTTCTGGCACATTTTCTCATTTTCTAGAGGGGAGAGACTATTATCTTAATCTTTTTCTGTCCATTTTTTTATCTTCCCTGGCTAACTTTTAATCCTTTTGGTCAATTTTAACATAAGACAAAAAAGAGGAAAATGTGCCTCTACTGGTTTATGAAAATAAGACAGAGAGGTAGAAGGGAAATACCCCAATCAAACCTTCCCCGATGAATGAATCTACAGCAGGAGCCTCCATGAGACAGCAGAGGAGCCAGTGAAGACACAAAAACCCAGGAGAACCCAGATTTATTAGCCTTGCTGCTCAGTTATTCAGATGTTTTTCTTTACTGAGAACATTCCTGTTCCCATTGACTCCAACATTTTCAACTTCGGTGTTATCTGCACTAATCTAGGAAATACTTCACTGCTACTTCAACTGCTTTTTCTTGTGGAATTCGAATACTTCGGGGGGCAATGAAGGGGTAAGTCCCACTGGGCATGTGCCTTTCCTCAGAGCTTTAAGAGATCTGGAGAGATATTTCTGGATGTTGTTTTGTTTTGAATTTATGTAATTATTTTATTTTTTTTTAGTTAAACTGAAAAGAGCAGCCAGACTGCTTGCCTATCTACGTTCTCATTCCACTAGCCAGGTGACTGTTGATCCACGAAGCAGCGTCTCAGCCGCCTACCTCACTGGAAGAAAATCTTCCAGGCGTTTAGGTTTTGCAACTGAACAGTTGTGTGTGCTTGTCTTGCTTCCAGCATTTCCTCACAGTCCCCACTTAGGCCCAGAAACTAGAGCTGCAAGTTCTAGTCTCAGCAGTAACGTCTCCCCCATCATTAAATAATTGAGTTAGTCCTGCAATCTCGAGCCCAGCAGCCTGTGAGACACTACCTCATAGCTGGTGGGTCGCTGGCAGCAGGGTTGACAAAACCCTTCAGGGATGGCTAGTGGAGGCTCTTTCCTGGCAGGTCCCAGCTTGGTTTGTTAGGTCAGTGGGGAGACAGCCGGGGCTCACCACGCCACGCCCGCGCCAAGCCACACCGGCCAAGATTGGTTATGTTTTGGCTGTACCTTCCAGCACGGGGTTAGAAATACTGAAGAAGAGGCTGTGGTCCTTCGTTGAGTAAGGGAAGGAAATTTAGGTATTGGAGTCCTCGGGAGATGCTGTTTTGCTGCCCTCTAGGCAAAGATTAAAGCTTAAAATGTGGAAATGACAGAAAATGCTGTCCTGAGCACACTGAAGCAAAGTAAAGGGGTTGGGAAGGTGAAAGGCTTTTCATGGGACTTCATTAAGGTGTGAGTATAAAATCTGTAAAAAGATCTCTGTGCTCAGATTAGGAAGATCCAGTGGTGTACAACAAAGAATAATCAGTAAAGGCATCATAATTACAAAGTTCTTTTATATTAAAATGATGTCATGTAATAGGTTGAAGAGCAAGAAATAAATAAGCTGTGCAGATCTCCTTTATCTAAATAATTGTTTTCTTATGCGTTAGGCTGAAAACTTCTCATATAATTTCTGTCCTTTAATGGTAAAAATATATTCAATTAAGACTATGAAACTATTTTAACATTTCAGTAGTAGCTTCAACAGAAGGATCCCAGAGTGCATAAGTGAAATGCAAATTTGAGGGAACCATGGAAAGAGAGACCAAGACACAGAACAAGGACTTAATAGGGAATGTGTCACCACAGGGCTCTGTGGTGAATATATAACCTCGTTTTTGTAAGAACTATTGTATGGAGATTCAGATTTTTTAAACCAAAATATATAATTGTATGACTTCAAGTGTTGAGTATTCTCTTACAGAACTGTTCCTTGAGGATAAATCTTCATTTCTCTCATGTGAAGAACTATGCCGAGATCTGCCCGTGGAAAATTACATTCTAGGAGCAAGAATCACAAAGGACCTTTGCTTTCAGACTCTTCTTTAGGAGGTCCACAGCATAATGAGCAAACTGGAATGAAGTGTATTAACCTTTGAAAGATGAAAGGTAATCAGGACTGAACCAATGCTCCCCGTGGTTAGACCACAAGCTCTTATGAAAGCTTTATGATCAGTCTGCGTGTGTATCTCAACAGTTCCTAGGGAAACATTTCCATAGGTCATATGTTATTGGATAAAAAAAAAAAAAAGTTGATCCTGAAGTGTTAAAGTCTCATCTCCTAAACCAGAACAGATACAGTGACCTTAGGAACAATTGGCTCTTGACTGCTACCCACACAATGCAGAAAATGTTAAGGAGGTGGAAAATGAGCTCAAGTTTCTAGTTTCCATTATTTGTGAATCAACACATTATTGTATTGTGAATGTTTGCTTCTCTTCTGTCTTTGTAAGCAAAAGATCAAATTATTTTCTTAGTTTATCAGGATGGAAGGAATGTTTTGGAGGTAATTTGGAGAATACCACAAGGAAATAGTCTTTTCAACAGGGCTTCAGTGGTTTTTGTGCCAGACTAGGGCACTGAGGCAGCTTTCCTGCCAGCTGCAGGAGAGCTGTGAGCTGTGTGACCTTCCTCTGTTTGCTCGGGGTGAGGGCACATCTCCATGTTGCTGTTGGATCTTTTTATCTGCTTATGCCATTGGTGACTGTGACCCCCTTCTTTCTCATCTGTGCTTGAGACTGATCTGCTTGAACTACTGAGCTGCATTAGATCTCGTTTGACTCACTGTATTTCCTTGGCTGCCAGGGCTGGGAATCCCCTTCCTTCAGCAGCGCTTACCTTGGGCGACAGCCGGTGAGCAGCTGTCCTTTCTCTCCTGGTGTTATCTACACAAGAGCCATCTACGTCATTTTTAGTGTTTGTAAGCTTTTCAGAGCTTTCAGTTTGTGCACAGTCTTGGAATGTACTTCTCATTCCCTGCATTTTTCTGAAAACAGGACGTTGAAATATGCTCTTGGTAGCTGGATTCGTACATACTTATATTTAATTTCTCCTGTGGCTTAGGCACTTTGTTTCAGGGGGCAGTATGGATGTATGACTGTGGTCTGGTGAACCAGAAGTGCACTTCAAGAGCAGGAACAAGTTAGGAATTATGACTGTTCTTCACTGAAGAAAAGATGGATGTTTAATGAATGCACAGTTGTAAAAAGATTTGTATAGCAAGAATGACATTAAACCACACTTTTGGAGTGTCTGGGAGGATGTAGGTGCCTCCTGGGGAAAGGATACATGATACACCTCTGAGATGCTGGAATGTAATAATATTTCTCCAGAGGGTCCTCTCAACATATATTTTTCCTAGGCATTGGGGTTTGAAATTAATTCCCAGCAGAAGTGTGGAAATAAGCAAAGAAAGAAAAGCATTCAGGGAGAGCTGCTGGAAATGCAGAATAGTAAATAGTCACTGAGTCTTCTCACAACTCCATAGTCTCCAGTCAAAAAATGTCTCCTCAAGCAACTAAGTCTGTATTTTAATAGATATGTTACCAGCAAGCGAGCAGTCCTTATGAGCCCAAACTCTGCCACAGCCACAGTTTTTAATCAGGAGAGTCTCTGTGGAGATACATGGAGAACAGAAGAGGCTTCTTTGGGGCACAAGCATTGGGATTGTACCCTCAGAGGCTGAATTCTCTCCACCTGCAGAGGTGACAGTCCCCAAACACACAGGAACAACTCTTTGGCTTCTTGAGATACCTTTAGACTTTCCCTCAAGCCCTTGCTGTGCTGGGGTCTGCATCAGCATTTGGGGTATTTCCAGATTTAAGGTGTGCAAGAACTTTCTCCCTTATCCTTTCCCCAGACCCTCATGGGCTGATTTCATTGCTAATGATCTCATAGTGACTAGACTTTAAATGCTGGGAAGGATAAGTTTAAGTAAAGGAAAAAGAAAAAAACAACAGAAAATTCAGTATCTCTCAGGAATGATGGAGGCCTTGCTGCTGGCAGGTAAAGGCAATGGCACACATTGCTCAGTTTTTTGGCTCCTCTCGTTGGTTTAAAATTTCAGCAAGGGGTTATTGCAATGATGAGACAGTTCAGTCCAAATTACTTTTACCCTGAGAAAGAGCTGTTTATCTGTTTGGAAGAGGAGGACTCATCAGTGCTGGAAAGATTTCATATACCTGGATCTCAGGATCTCGTTCCCCTCAGCTGCTGGAACATGAAACCTTCCAGCTGCCTCTCACCACACTTTGCTCAGAGAAGAGAAAATATTACGAATGAATGTTTCTAAATCCCTCATTCAGTGTACTGAGGGCCAGAGCCTGAAGTAAGACTCCTGATAAATATGGGGATCCAAATCTGGCCCTCTGAGAGCTATCATCTATTACACTCGAGCAAAGAGCGGCCTGATGTTAAGATCTGACTGCTCATTGCAAAGCTTATTTTGTTACATCAGCAGGCCACAAGGTTCAATAAACTATGTGGCCTTTATCCATTCCATATGTACTGGCTGCCTCCTGTAGTTTCTATGTATTTACCCTGTATATGAGCTTTAAGGGAATCTGATGCCTTTAGACAGTAGAAATGCAGATAATTCTCCAGTTTGTAAAACCCCCTTTAAATTTGATTCTGCATCAAAAGATAATGCCAGTAATTGCAATTTTTGTTTTCGAGATACAGGCTTCCAGAGGGGCCTGTGACTCAGAGGATTTTATAGGCATTGAAATTTGATGGATTAATTGTTAATAAAAGTTAGATTGGGTAAGTGAATACAAACATCATACTGAGTTTAGTATTTACATTGGCTCCGAAACCTTTTTAAAGGGCAGTTTTGGACTGAGATGCCTCAGAGAATTTTTGAGTTTTGCTCCTAGAAAGTTATTTAACTGGAAAACAATTCCCACTGACAACACCAGAGTTTTCATTTTTTTTGGGGGGTGGGGGGTTTAGTTTGTTGGGGGTTTTTGCATCATATTATCACTATCTCCTATCAGGATCTCATTGTACAATAGTGACCTCTGATGTAAAGGAATCAGGAGTGCCACTTGCAAGCCCTATCACAGAGCCTTACTGAGCAATTATGAACCTATTCAGCAACAACCAAACAGCTTAGAAGGGAAGGGACATGTGTGCATGTGTGCACACCCACACGTACACACACAGACAGCTGAGAAACTGGTGATAAAATAAAATTGAAGACCACAACACTGAAGGATCTGGAGCTGTTAATTTTTATAGCCAATACAGATACTAGTATTTTATGAGGTTTGGAACTATCAGTGTAAAAAAAGCAATATCTAGCCTTACCCTTTTTGTTTTAATACAAAGATAAAACTATCAGTGGAATAGAGCAGCATTATGGTTAATAGACCTCCTCTTTATGGACAGACCTATCTTCCTGTTTCCTTTTGTCAATATTTATAAAAGCAGAAGGACATTTGTGCCTGATCCTATCCAAAATCCATGTGTTGGTTTCTTTAAAGGAGCATCTCTTCTGCTCACTTATATCTCGTTTCAGCTAAATAGCAGAGTTGGACTGTTTGTCAGTTTTATTTTTGTAAATCCTTGCCAGTTTTATGTGTTGTAGTTGGTGAAATGACTCCCTTTGCATCAATGCAAACTCTGGAGTGACGCCGGGAAATTGGTTAAGAGACTTTTGCCTGCAGAATTTACATGACAGTGAACATCTGGACTCTCCAAAAATGCTGTCTCCTTGCTCTAGGGACACACAAGAGTTGTCTCATTTGAGTGTTCTCCATCATTATTTCAGAGGGTTACAGCTACCCCAGAGGGATCACTGGGCATCTTTGCAAAGGGCACAAGATAGTTCTTGAGGTCAGTGGAATGAGTTGCAACAGGATGGAAGAGAAACTGGGGAGAACCCTGGTCCCAGGTGGTGTGAGATATGTATGTCTATGACCCTTTAGAATAAATAATAAATTTTGTATCTTATGAGTAATAACAGAAACATTTATTTCTGTATCTTACTCGATACATGATGCCAAAGACATAATACTTTGTAGAAGTGTGATATTGTCTTCCTGATTCTCTCAGTAAGATGAGGTTTTATTTTATGTGTAGAACAACCTATTTATTTATGTGTAGAGCAGTCTCAGAGGCAGGATGCTGAACTGGTACTTGAGTGGTCCACCTTCCGCTATCATAAAACTTCAGACTTCCTCTGTGACTTTATTTACCCCTTATGACTGTTTGACAGCCTTTATAAATATGAAAAACTTTTTTTTTTTGTTCCACAGGAAAGTTATATGTCAAGACACAACAATTTGCGAAGTTTTCAAGTATTCAAGTGACGAAGGTCATGCAAACTGTCCTATGGGTAAGTTCAGAGTCCTGGAAAATGCTGCTAATTCTGAGTTGGTTGCAATACACTAAAACTTGCCACGGTCACAAGGACACAACACAATCTAAGCTCTGATCTGTCCTTGTATGAGCTTGCCCTTTATGTTTTCTTACAGGATTTCATCAAAACTGCTAAAAGCCTAAGAAAAAAAAATATTTTGAAACAATAACTGTTAAAACTTTCAGTAGAATAATCCCTGTTTTCCAGCTTCTGGAAAAGGAAAGTCAGAGTTTTCCAGAATCTTTGCAATCCCAATGCAAACGTTTTGGGAAAACACATATGTTTAGGAAGTACTTTGATGACATGTAAGGTTGAGTGACTTCTTCAATATATTGAAAGAAAGATGTGAATGCTTTGTAATCTGAGTCCTGGCCAGGCATCAAGCTTCCCATAAGGCATTCTGTCCTAGCAGCAGCCAAGAGACCTGATACTAATAATGCTCCAAGAATTCAAGGTGTTTGTTAATATTCAGCTATAATGAATGCAGCATGTGTTTTTGAATAAACTACATGCTTGAATGAGGACCTCTCATTCAAGAAGGTGAGGTGCATAGTAGAGTGATTAGACTTGGCAAAAAGCAGTTGTTTTGTTGGAATGACACCGGCCAGATAATTGTCAATGCTCAGGGCGCCGCTCCTCCAGCGTCACTCGCGGGAGGAAGAAGCTGAGCTGCTTGGATGTCCCCAGCCACGCTACACTGGTAAATCCCAAGGGAGTTCTATGACTGGGAAGTCCCTGCAGGTTGGCACAAATCTGCTTTGTGTTACAGCACGGTTGTTTCAGGCTCGGTGCATGTTCAGCTGAACGCTGAGCCTTTTTTCACTCCGTTTGATTCGTTAAAATTTTACTCACTTCCAGTAAGCTGAAAGTGCCTCGGCCTTTTAGAGACCGATTGTTTGAGCTTCAGAGGAGAATGAGCTTCAGTAGCACCAGGTCAACCCAGTAACCCACACAAGCAATGCAAAACTTTGAATTTATCATGGAAGAACGGGGGGAGAGGAATAGAACCTAAGCATTTGTTCTTGTGAGACCTAAAATTCCACCAACCTCAAACCTTCAGTCTTCAAAGCAAGCATGATCTGTTCCCCAGTAACCATTTAGATCCAGCTGCGTATTTCCAATGGTGAACACACAAGGGAGGTGCTTCCATCCTGATATCTGCAGGTTTTGGGCCAAAATGTCTTCAGCTGCTTAATGGGATATTTGGGTGGAGGCCCTCATTTCCATACTGTTGAAGAGAAGAGATGATCTTCATACAAGGAAGTGAGATGTTCTAATACTCTTATCTTACTTTGCATAACTCCAGATGTTAATCATCAAAAAAAAAAGATCCAACCCTTTTTAATATTAGGAAATGAAATGATAAGGCTTGACTTAATTTTTCAGTTTTGACTTGATAAACCTTAACTTTGAGATGCTGCAGGAGGTGGATTCACTGGACTTCTCTGTAACCTTCAAATGTAATTGCATCAGCCTAAGTGTATGTATTCATCTTTTCTCTTTATAAAGTATCTTTGCATTAAATTTAGAGTAGAAGTGCTTAAAGAATTAATTGGGAGAAGGTATTTGGTGCTCTTGTTAGGAGGAAGAAGGTAATGTTTTTAAGAAACAGCAATCTGGAAGAATAATCAAAATATATTCATAGCATTTAGCAGTAGTTTAATGAGTTTTCAGCTTTTCCACTTTCAGTCAACTAACTTCATCAAAACTCCTAAAAAGTGATTTGAAGCGATTATTTGTTTCTGAAATTAGTGTGGAGGGAATTTTCAAAGTGAAATAGTTTTTTTTTAAAGTATGACTGCATGTAAAGTTGCTTATGGTTCTGCTTTCCACACCCTATAAATAATAGTAATAATAATTGAAAATAACAAAATCTTCCCACTCAGACCAATTTACTGCCATTTTCTTTTCACTGTACTATTCAGTTTGTTTAATCTTTGCGCTGTCTCTGAATTGCCTCTGGATTTCAGACACATGTATGCAGATAATTAGCACGGATGCAGATATTACACAAGGGGGTCAGGGTTATCAGATACAGGCATGTCTAATCCGTCGGTGATTTACAGTTTCTTTTTAAATTTCCACTTTCTAATAACAGTAGGAATTTTTCAGAGGACATACTCCTGGTCTCCCATCTCCAACTGGAGCAAGAAGATCTCACGAGGTAGGAGCTAAATTCAGAACAAGCACTTGAGGGAAGGCTCCGATCTGCGTGCCACACCTCTGCCCTCTCTTGTATACAACGAAAAACCCGTCAGTGTTATTGTAAATCACGATGTCCCAGCCCAGAAAAAAACATATTTTGCACCTCATCTGGTCTAAATATTGAGTTTACGAGTGAATGTTGCTTTGCATTATGTGTTATAGATGCTTTATGTTTATTTAAGAACTCAGTTTGCAGGAATGTTTTCCAGACGTGCGGTTTACCGCAATAGACAGTTGTTGATATTCTGATCCCAAGAGCATTAGAATATGTTTAGAAATTGCGACACTTTTAAAACCAGATGTTCTACATAAGCTACACAAAAAAATGGGGGTGGGGGAACAAATAGAACTGTCATTTGGCATGAAAACAGCTTGTGTTAAAGCAAAGGCAAACACATACCAAGTGAAATAAACGTGGTGAACTGCCCTCAACCCTTTCCTCCTTTTGTAAGTAACTATTTTAACAAAAGATGGAAAATCCCATCTCCCAGATGGTGTGGGAAGGGAGAAGGGAGGCTTTCAGGTTCAGGTTTGCATCTGAAGGAAGCTGCTGGATCTTGTTCCTGGGATGGATCAAACCAGAATGACAGAACTAGGCAATTCAAGCAAGAAAAGAATGTAAATCTGGATTCAAAGCCCAGCCCAGAAATTAATTTTCTGTGTGTTTCTAAAGGTAAATGATCCCCACTTAGGAAACAAAGTTATACCCTGAGTGGTGAATGGCCACAGAAAGGTTCTTACCAACAGCCAGAGGCTGGTGGCACATCCTACCCTGTCCTCCAGGATGATTTGGTGGAGACTTTTCTGTAAACAGGTGGGGGATCATCCTGCACCAGGCACTGTCTCAGGGACTGAAGTGTCTCAAAATAGCCTTGCTCTGGGTCTCTGGTGGGAAAGCATGGTTGGGCAGCAGAACAATCTGGACTCACAGCTGTCATCAGCTGATGATAAACTGTCTCTTTCCATTCAATCTGTTGCTGATTTTTTCTTCTGACTTTGAATTCTTTCCCTTGTTTATTATAAAGCAGAAGGCAAAAGAGTTTCACGTACACCAACCTTAAAGAAGTCGACTTGAGTCATATTACTCTGAGTTATTTTCCCCTCCTATCAAAAGTTAACGTGCATTAGAGTAATCAGTGATAACACTACAGGTTGGGACCCATAATAAAAGTAAGGCCAACTGGCAGCCAAAAGAAAAGATAACCAAGGCACCTCTCCTTTTCTTTACAGCAGCATCCCACAGTGATGGAAACATGTTACCAGCAAGTCTGGAGGAATTTGCTCAAAATATGTTATTTTAAGTAACTAAAGCAGTGCATGTGTTTGCCCAAAGGTTGAAAATGTTGTATTTGTAGTATAAAAGTAATGTGATGTCTGACAAACAACCTTGTCTAAAAGCAGTTAAAGGAATGCTGTGAAGAAAAGTGCTGGGCAAACATGGATTTGCCAGAAGCTTTCCTCAGCATTGAGGATCAGAGCTGCTTGGACCCTGCTGTATCTCTTCCAAGCTGTAGCAAAGCTACTCTGCACATGGATGCTGCATTTCAGCACTTTGCTCAGCCGCATAGGAATAAGCTCATTTATGAATCTGTGGTTCATGGGAAGGAAATTTACTTACATTAGTAAAAGGACTGAAGTGCCCTACCAGCTCAGTCACCCTGCCTTCATGGAACAGGAGGCTCCTACTGCCTTCAGTGGATATTGGACCAGTTTGTTAGTCCAGCTTCAAAGAATTAATGCAGTAGTAGGATCTGCCCACTGACTCATTCTGCTCCTCATGAGTACCTGAAAAGCCAGCTCTGAAACTCTTACTAGCTCTGCCTCACCAAAGACAATTTATGGCGGAAGTTCATGTACATATTTATTTTGTTGCTAAAGAGTTTGCTGGCATACTTCAAAGTGTGGGCTATTACCTGTTCAGGTTTATTGCCTGCTCGAGTGAATTATTGCCTACCTGAACAGGCCTGCTGAGCAATAGTTCAAATTAAAACGTGTCATTTATCATGTTCACACCAATCCAAAATGACCGCAAAACCCAAGGTGTAATTATTGCCAGGCTATGACTGCAGAGCTATCGTAGCAGGCTCTCAACTAGTGGGAAATACTGGTTCCCCTCTTTGAAGGAAATCTACTTCCTTCTTCATAATGAACAAATATGACCCTACCATTAACATAATATTGTTTCAAATGCTGATATGCACCACGGAAACCAACTTACAAATATGGGGGAAGAATGTGACATGGATTCCGCCCAAGATTAGTTTTTCTCCAAACCGCAATTTTAGACCCAAGGTTTTTCACTAAAATTTATTCTAAACAGGTCTTGTTCCTCTCAACAATATCCAGAAAGGAGGTTGTCACACAGGCTGGAATGATGGTGCTATTTTTATTTTTGCTGTTATTATTTTTGTACTACTATTGTTGTTTACACCAATTCAGAAAAGTAAACAACAGCAGGGTCTCAGTACCAGCGTGGGCTGTGAATGCTTCAGTGTGCCTACAGCTGTAGTAAACCAAGCCTGTACATCCATGTTCTGCTCCATCCTCTTCTGTCCCTGTTGCCTGCTGTGTCATCTTTTCATTTTCTTTGATAGATCCCAGGGTTTGTGTTCCATTTTAACCTAAAACTTGTAGAGCTACAGCTGCCTATGGTATGTATATGACAGCAGTGAAGAGCAGCAATATATATAGTGTGCTGTTCCCTCCCATCCCTCCTCAACCCTTCCTGGCTCATCTAGGGCTTTTGAGCTTTTTCTGGATAATGTAAAGCTCCTGAAGTAAAAGAAAAATAAACCTTTTTGTCTATGTCTGTACTGAAGCACTGCAAATGTATATTGTAAAGCTTTCTCTTTTTTTACCTCTTTTATTGTTGTAGGACATGAAAGGTCAGGGAATAATCAGGCAAGAACAAAATAGAAAGCAAACATCAGAAGTATTTGCTTTAATGAAAGCATGTTGTGATAGGGTATTTTTGTTTGTGCAAGCTTGTAGGTGTAAGTACAGGGAAAAGAGGGGGAATAAATCCCAAAATGCAGCTTTAGGCTGATCAGAAAACTCCTCTGGGATGCAATTTCATGTACCCTGGGATCGAAGATGGACCAGCACTGCAACATGTAGTCAGGCTGGCCATAATTCGTATGCAGACCTGGTTCTGAGCATCCTGATTCCTACCTCACTTCTCTGTGAACCATTCCAGGTCCCTGCAACTAAACACTTCCCAAATTATGGAGTTTGCATTCTGATCTGAATTTTGCAACTCAAGCCTACCTGTGGTTATACAGTCAGACAGAAAAGCCAACAAGCCAAGAGCAACGCCTAGTCACTGACTTTGATCTAGAAATAGTTATTATCCAGCTATCTCCATTACAAAACATCCACTTTGCTAAACCTGGGTTATCTTCTGATTTGGCTTCATTTGATAGGCAAGAGCAGGTCTAGCATGGGAGAGCTTCACATCCCAAAACGATGCATCTTTCAGAAAACTGATAAGTGATAAACCTTGCAAAACCCGTGAGTAGGAAATGACGTTTCTGTCCACCTCCCAACTCTGTCTCTGCACCACTGTCAGCCTTTGCAGATGAGATGGAAAAGTGAGGGAATTAATGCTTTGCCCTACAAAACTGACACTCGTCAGTGGGCAACAAGAGGAAATGCACTACTAATGACAACTCCACCAGTGAGGTTATACAGAGGAGTTCAGTTCTCAAGCTGTAAGCTTATGCATATTTTTCATGAGGGTAAATGACTGATTTTCAAACTATTTCTTTGAATTTCTGTTTCTTGGAAGCATGGTAGGAAGTTACTTAGAAAGGAAGTCACTCTGAATTCTCTTCTTTTCACTCCAGATTAGAAGAAGCTCTGCTTTCTCTGAAGAGTGAATTTGGGTCACAATGTAGTAGCATTCAGTCCTCACATGCTGAATTACTTGCTGAACATGTGGTAGTATTTTGCGACATGGTCTGTGGACTGGGAAGTAGGCTGAGCTCACCCAACCCATTTCATTTATGGCTTTACACAAGTAAATAAGTATGTTTTCAGCCACTCAACACAAGAATGGCTTGCAAATTGCAACCGCCATTGCCTGGCAGGTCAAAGGTTAAGCTTTTCAACAGGTCAGACTACAGTGCTAATTCACCTCAGTAGTGAGTCCCAGGCAGCCTGTAATGCATATTTGTGGCGGTTGTGTTTGTATAGCATGCACATAAAATGAAAACCGTATGACAGAGGTTAGTCCTCTTAAATGGTTGTCACATTGGCTTGGGTTACTTTCGTACAGTTATCCATATGCTAGCCAAGATTCTGGTGGTATTTTCGTATAAATTTTATTGACGTGGTGAAGTAAATTGGGTAATTTCATAGCTATTATAATCAGCCAGTGGCCCAAGAAATGCACTGCTTTGTTTGTCGTGAAAATGCTGCTAACTGGTCTGGCCAGGTTCAGCTTCTAGTGGCGGCCCTCTTCCAAATGTGGAAAACCCCTTTTTCTGACACAGAGGGTTCAGACAATCCTTGTGTGCTCGGTCCACGCTGAGTGCCACTGCTGTGGGCTGAGGGCTCAGCCCCTGTCGCCAGATGTATTTCCTGAATGTTACACAAACAAGGAGCCTTGTGAGAGCTTCTTGAGTTCAGTTCACAGCTGCCAAAGCTTGGACTAAGGCCTGGATTAAATGAAATGTCTAAATTAGGAGCCTAAATTAGGCATAGAAACTCCCTTATATATTCAACTGGGAGAGATAGGTACTCGCAGGGATACCCTGGGGAAATGTAGTTGTCCTCTCTGGGTTTCTGTCCAGCCATTGGCTCTACAAGGAGCACAAGGTAACAAATATCCTAATGCAGGCATCTTAGTTGGGCACATGTAGTGCTGTGGATCTGCACCTGGATAGCTGCACAGCATGGCAAAAAATCACCTCAAATTGCTTCTTCAAAGGGATTATATTCTTATATGACCTCGTGTACTACGTGGTGGACATTACATGCAGACATAATCCCATGGATAGTGTTGCCAATGTGAGTTCAGAGAGCCAAAGGTCTGTGGTCTGAATGACAAAAAGAAATCATTTACTGTCTTTTGTTGGCAGAGAAGTATTAAAATTTCCTCCTACACAAAGCAGGAAGAGGAGACACAGCCCTGGACTTCCTCTCCCAGATCCTTCCTGACCAAGATGCCCTGCTCCAAGGGAGGAGCCGTGACCTTCAAAGGCCGTGTCTTGGCACATCAGGACATACTCATGTGCATAGCACACGTTCGTTGTTCTGCTGCAAAACAGGTAAATTAAAAAACTTACCATAATAGGCCAATTTTAGATGATTTCTGCTGAAAGGTGAGGTAGCAAATAGAAAAGAAATGCGTGAGTGCGCATAGAGGAGACAACCGAGGTGTTTTGGGAAGCTCCCAATTCCGTCTCCCAGAGTTCCTCTACATCCCTGAGAAAATAAAATGAGTGCTCCCCATCTTTGGTGAAATGGTTGATGGAGCTGGCAATAGCACTCCAGTTTAACACTGACTATAAATGATGCTTACATTTCAACAGCATTTTTTAATAATATTTTTCATAAGTATAAGCTAAAGGAGTTACTTTCCACCAGGGTCATGGAGAGTTCACTAAATGCTGATAGACTGTATTCTGTATTAATGGTGCTAAGCTAACTGCCTCACAGAACTACCAAAACCCTTTATTTAAAGAAATAGCACTGTATTTCATAAGAAAATATTTTTAAAGCTTTCCCTACTGATATTTTTTCTAAAGAGAGGGAGGTCTAATTATTTATGCTGAATCTGAAAGGCCCAGCATTGGATGTGTTCAGTAAGATACACCTTTATTTGAATATACATTTAGAGCAGCGTGCAACACAGATGATTAAAATGTTTTGTTTTCTTTTTATTTAACAGAATATCAGCCATTAGCTTCTGCAGCTAATTATTGGATTTCATAACTGACTCTTCAGAAACAGCTACAAGGATTCGGTTGAGCCTTTATACTGAGCTCTGGGTAAGGGTTTCCATGCAGCAAGAGGAGAATCACTGTATGGGTCACAGTTTCTTCAGAAAAGCGAGGAATCCTCAGCTCATCTATGTCAGTTCACCTATAGCAGCAAGTCAGGTGACAGAGCTGGGACTTATCCCTTGACATGGGACATGTGTTTATCAGGCCAGGAGCTGGGAACTCATGTCTGGCTGTACATAAGATTTGTAGTCCCTTGCATGGGTAAAGCAAATCAAAAACCATCCTGGCTGGTACTTGCGGAAATTCCATAGTGGTGGTGGCTTGAAAAGTGGGGTACTAGTTAGAAACCAATTCTTGTTACAGTCACAAATGTGAAGAGACCTTAAAGCAAAATTACTGGGAAAGTGGTGTAGGTTAGACAATGAAAGAATCACTAGGAATAGCTTCTCCCTATCAAGGCAGTGCAATCCACTGAAAGCCACGTTTGCACTGATAATTAATTCCTTGACTACTATAGCAGAGTGAATCTATAAAAAAAATCTGCTCACACTTTTTTTCCCCCACCACACTCCCCTACCACATCACATTTCAAATCTATAGAGTTGTAGCAGAGCTGTTTCAAAGCAGAAACCCAAAGACAATACCAAAGAGCTGCTGCTTCCTACAAGTCTTCTGCCTACTCACGATGGACCAATTTATGAAGCTGACAAAATTCACCATTAAAACGTGAAGACCATGAAAGTGTAATGTGTAATACCCAGCTAAACAAAATGACTCTTTTATCTCTGACTATTTGGTTTAACAACTGTAGCAAGGGTGTACACAAATTTTCAGAAATACACTTACTGCTTATGCCTCTCCACTAAGGGCTGGTACTGTGGCCATACCCTGGCAGAACTGAGGTGGCATCCAGAACCCCTGTAGTATCTTGAGAGCTGAATGTTCAGCCTCTCAGGTGATAAACTGTCCATTAATGTAGTGATAGAAATGGAGTGTCATATTTAATGAGAAAACAATTCCTAGGACACTTACCTGCTACCTTTCCAGTGTGCGAAAACTGGTTCCTTTGTATTGTTTTATTGTCTGTGCTCTTGCCAAGTGTGTAAGATGGCACCAAGTGACCCCAAACAAACTTGAACTGAAGTACACAGAGAGAGGATTAATCAGTCAGGCACTTAAGCATAAGCTTCATGTTAAGCATGCAACATAATGTTGTTAAAGTGAACTTAGTGGTATTATTTGTATGTTTAAAGTTAACCACTGAACTTATCTGTTGTGCTACATCAGTGCCTGATAGCTTGTGCACTTACTTGCAAATTTAAGATACTTAATGTGTTTATTCTGGACTCTTCCTGTTGTTGTGCATCTGAAATTGTTGCCCTCAACCAAGCAGGGTAGCACTGTACAGCAGCAGTGCAGGCCAGCTCTTCCTCAGCCAGGGATGTGGACAGGGAATGCACAAAGCAGCTCTCCACCAGCTCTCCAGCAGCAGATCAGGTTCTCCAGAGCCCTTAAGCAAAAGTACCTAGTTCTGGCATTAGCCTCAAGGGCAGCAGGGTTAGGCCACTCCTGAAGGCTTTTGGAAGTTTTTGCTCATCGGGTTGGGAATAGTGAGAGGAACACTGTGGTTTCCCTGCTGCTGTCGGAGACAGAAGAGCTGAGCTCTGGTCTTTCTTCACTCATGGATGTTCTCCATTTGTTCAAGTCCTCTCACCTCATCTCTAGTTTGGGGAGGACATATTTTGCTGTCACAACTCCTCTCCTCTGTGCATACAAAGGTGATGGACCCCAAGACCTAGAAACATGAAACCTCCATGTAAGAGTGGCATGTGAGCTGGACCACCCCACCTGGCTCCTTCCATACTTCATTTGTACGGAAGGATGGTCTGGGGAGATTTAGGCAATAAACCAATATTCCCACCCACTAATAACCAAAAAGTAAATGTTCCTGAATGATGTACTCAGCACCTTCTATTCTCACTGAAGTAAATAGTTCCTTTGGGACTACTTTCATGTGTCTTTAGGGAATGTAACCAAATTATACCACATGAGAGCTGGTAATTTTAATGTTATGCTGTAAGGGGAAAACTATAAACATAACAGGAAAGACTGGATGTTTTCCATTCATAATTTTAGAAAGGTTTCTTCTCATCTGTACATATTAGCTTTTCAACATCTCTGGCAAGATTTAAATGAATTATTTAACTGGAATTGAAAAGCAGGTCTTACTTTTAAATTAACGTGATAAAAGCTATTGTATTTCTTTAATTTTTAAAATATTACTATAGAAGATAAAGATCAAAACCAGACCCAAGAGGCGATAAGGCCAAGAAAATACCCAGCCTCTAACCTCCTGGCAGGAGCTGGAATAATTTGGAGAAATGACTGGCTATGATCCGAAGCACGGTCAGTAGAGTTTGGAGAACCCAGAGGTTTTAATCAGAAGCATTTCCATGTTGTGCCAGTCTTTTGTGACTGGGAGTACAGGGTGTGTGGAGCTGGGAGTGGTGCAAGGCCGTGTCAAGGAGCTTCTGCTGCAAGAACTGTGCCAAGTTTTGTGCAAAACGTGGAGAAAAGTTGAGAATAGGCCTTGTGTAGAAAGATTAGCTTGAAATTTTTCAGTTTCTTCTCCTCTGTCAGTGGGGAATGTGTGAGATAGGGTGAGCCAGAACCCAGCAGGAGATTTCTGGTTCAGAAACCAAAACTGGCCTGGGAGAAGCACTCGGGCAGTCAGGTGAGCTCCGCTCATAGGATCGAGATTTGGGTTTGAAACCAGGGATGTTTTTACAAGCTAATGACCCCCTCGAGGGCAGCAAACATGGTCTGTGTCATATGAGAGGTGGTAGCACCCACTCCCTGCTCCACACAGCTGAAAACTCCTGTTTCCTTGGATGAGAGATCTACTTGCTGAAAAAGTCAATCGTCTGAATTATAGAGCAGGAGAGTTTCTATCTCCACATCCACCCCCCCAAAAAACCTCTCCCCAGTATTTCCATGCTTCCCCTTTTGCCATTAAGATGAGATTTTCTCCTGCAACTGAACAGTAAGTGCTTCATAAACAGTTCCTCCGTCTGCAAGTGGACCTTGAAAATTGATTATTTTTTGTTTGTTTCTTTTAGTCTCCAAATGTTTCTGCCATTATAAGGCAGGCAGTTATTTTGCTAGGAAGGAATGTGAAGAATTAGAAAAGTTGAAAGCGATTAGGACTCTGTCTTTTAAGACAGAGCCTTTCACAAAGCCTGGCATTCAGCCCGCTCAGAGTGAGCATCATAAGACACCCTGAAGCCTTGAAATCCCTCAGTTTTAAACCCCATGGGGTGGCTTTTGCATTATCAGGGAAGAGATGATATTGCAGAGACTATTTTCTTCATATTTTAAAGGCCTCTGAGTTAATATTTATTCTAAGTAGATGTTTATTTTTGGATACTTTTATTGTTTATAGGAAGGCCACAAAGAGTTCAATGTTATGGAGAAATGGTTACTTTGTATTTATGGTTGAAGAAAAATAAGAAGAAAAAAAAGAAGGTTCCAAACAATCCTGCCCCAGTTCTTTATTTCAGGAGACAATGTACTTTCCACCCATGCACAGGCAGTGCTTTACAGGCTGTATAATAAAACGCTGTTCCAGATATTGTCTAAATAGAAACAGATTTAACCCTGCTGTTGTGACTTGCATTGCTGGGTAATGAAAGTTTTCAATCTGGTTTTACTTTGTTTTATGCTCGCTGGAGAACTGCACATCCAAAAAATCCTGCCTTCTGCACAGAGACCTGTTGTTCCAATGCCATCTGCTTGTGTATAAAAGGTGAACATCCCCAGAAAGAAACAAACAAAAAAGCCTAGGATTTCACCTTTTCTGGTGGGCAATGAATTGCAATTCAGCCCTCAAAGTGACATTTTCTGCAAAGACTGCAGGTTATGGAACAGAACCCAGTGGTTTCAAATGAGACTTGAAGGTGCTTATGACAAGGAGGTGGTGGTGTCTATCACTTCCTGACAAGAGGTCAGAAACCCAAAAATTTCTAACCCCAAAATGCTTTGATAAAGAGTCAAATCATTTGCCTATGCAGTCATTGACTAATGGCATACTCAAAACTGCTGAAAAGACTCTTTAATTTAAGTTGGCTTTGAAAATTACCCATTGCTGTGTTACCTAAAGCAACCTCCAAGTGTTTCTCCATAGGGGAAAAGCCCTGTGATAAGAGATAGTCCCTGAAGATCTGAGAACAAAAGATGGGCTGCAGCATCTGCATATCAGGAAACGGTCCATTACTCATTAATTGCTCCATTTCCGTGCACCAACGAGGGTCACCCTGTCACTGAGGACCAGAAAGATTATAACAATAATATAAATACTGCTTTATTTACCATTTTACAAGAAAACAACTTTCCATGTTTGTTATTATATAGAGACGGTGTTTTTTTTCAAGTTTCCACAAATAAAACACTCTCAGAGGACAGTAGGAAGTTTGTAATTTGAAGCATTTTACTGTGGGACTAAAGGCATATTTTCATATGTCACAGAGCCCTGTCCAGCTGTTGGGACATGAACTAAGGACTAGGAGGAACCACATTCTCCTCTTTGCTCTCCTACAGATTTCCTGTGTGACCTTGAACAAGTTACTGAGTTTCACTGCCTGTGTGTACAGGCAGTACCCTGTTATGCTTCCTTTTATAATCTGTGATACTCCCTTTTATACCATTAGGTATTTTATATCCAGAAATGTGACCCTAGTTCAGGTTCCCTTAGCTCTTGTGTCAGCTACCTATTGACTGTGGTCTATAAAATTCCCTGCTCCAAAGCAGTCTGGACCCCAAACTGGTGCTGGGGGAGGATGGAGAGAGGGTAGCAGTGCTCAGCTGCTCCAGCATGTGCCTTACCTGGCAGGGAGTGCCTGGGGCTTGCTGGGCCTGGGGTCACTGTGGTTTTCCCATCTGCAGATCAGAGGTAACAGGATTCACCTACTGCATGAGAAACTGTGTGGGGCTACACACAAGTGACACTAAGGGCAGGCATTATTATCATAATGCGTGTCTTACAAGTGCTTGAGGTAGGCACTGTGACAACTTCCCCTAGAATTTGTGTCCACTTGAACTGCTCTGTCTCTGTAATCACAGAGCAAGAATGGGCAGGTATGACTCTGATTCTTATCGTGGAGGATTTAAACACAGCAATCACCCCAGCCCACCTCTTAGTATTCATCTTACTTATTAAAGCTTCCCAACAAGTCTCTGCAGTGATGTTATCTGCTAAATTGTGTGAGGTTTCTGATCATTAAGTGGATTGGTCTTCAAAGAGCTAAATGAAAATGAGCAATAAATATCAGTGTTACTTAGGTCATATGGTGCAAAATGACAAGGAGACCGAAAGACCTTCTGGCAACTGTAGAACAAACAAGTATGCAATAGATTCACTAAAGCTTTTTGTGGGTTTTTATAAAGTTTCTCATTCTTTTAATTATTTTTTTTTAAAGCATGTTAAAACGGAGAAGCAGGCATGGTCTTAAGCAGGAGCTCCTGAATCCCTCGGGCTGTTTTGTTCCATTGCTGTGACCTGAAGTGATGTACTTTTACTCCTGCACTAACTTTCCTCTTTGCAGAAGGGACATTGTAATATTTATGTATGCTCTGGGGAAGGTATCATTATTATGGCAATTTCTCCGGTGCTTTGCACATAGACAGATGTATTTAAGAAGGTGAACCTCCTGCTGGTGGGTGTAAACAGGAGCCTGAAGTTCTGCACCTGCAATTGTGTTTCCTGTATAAAACTGAGCACTTGTACCAGTAGCAACCCGACTGCAGAGATAAATGAGGCAGCAGCGGTTGCAGTGACTCCTGCTTGTATCTGTGTTTTCATTCATTTGGAAAAATAACCAGCCCCCACTGTTGCCAGGGCAGATTGTATCCTCAACCAAATACTGTGAAAATCTTCCATTGCAAGTAATATTAAACGATTGCATGATTTCTTAGATAGCATTTTAAGGACTTGTTTTTATTCAGTGAAAAAGTAATGGAAAAAAAAAATCAAAATGCTGCAACTTCTTACGTCTTGATTACTCTTTTTAGTCCCTTCCCTTTGTATAAAATTATGACAGCAGCCTCTGTGAATGGTGGCTTTCTCCTTGCATAAGCAGCCTAACCCTGTGAATATTGCTCTGGTGAAGCCATGTGGTCCTCCTTTATAACATGGCAAGGGAGCAGCTCTTGCTTTTGCAGCAAGAGCTCTGAGATTGTCCTTTGATTGTCCATGTACACTCCAGCAAACCAGGGACAGACTCCTCACCCCACTACAAACCCACTCACCCAGTTCTCAAAGGTTTTTCTCTAGCCAGGTGAAAGATTTTCCCTGTCCCTTCACCAGCTTTTCTCCTTCTCAAGAAACAATAGTTGAGAGGGAGAATCTATCTTTTAATAAAAATAAAAAAACTTGACTGCACTCATTTCTTCGTCTCTTTTGATGTCTTAGCCGTTGGCATCTCTTCTGTGGTGACTGAAGCACTCTTGAATTAGAAGTGGGACCAAAAAGAAAGAGGAGATTCAATTCAAATAGGGTTGGAAGATTGAGGCAGAGAGAAGTGGAAGAAAGTCAGTTTTTTAAACAGAGCAGAAAGAAGGCTATAACCTAAAATCCCACAGCCTAAAGGTAACAGTCATTTCCTTTTTCTGTGAAGACTGTTGGGGTTTCTTTAAAGGAAGTGGGGGGTGGAGAGAGGACAGTTCCTGGTATTTTCCTCAGCTTAAAAAGCAGACAAAAGTCATCAGGCTTCCTACATGACTGAAAAGGAGTGTTACACAAAGTGTGAGCTCTACTGTATGGCATTGTGTGCCACAGGGTCAAGTACCACGATGGTGGCTGTCAAGCAGACAAGAAATCTTTACTCATATTACACCCCACAGTGCTGTTCCCTGTGTATAAGGAAAATACTTGGATTATAAAATGATTCAGGGAAGGGTTGGAAGTGCCTTGACTGCATTCCTCCTTTCCACCTGGGAGCGTGCAGTCCTCTGCAGCAGGAGACCTTCCTAAAACATCTGGGCAATGGGCCACATCTGCTGTGTGGTGACATGGACTAAATAAATCCAAAACCTTTCTCTACCTTGGTGAAATCCTAATTCACAAAAAGGTTCCAGCAACAAAAGAGTCAATATGAGATTGGTGGAGAACACCCATTAATTGGTTTCAGAAGATCTTCAAACAGGGCTCAGAAACAAATCAAAGCAGTGCAAGGTAACTATAAAATTTATTGTTC